AAAGGCTTTAAATTCTATCAAGTTTCAAACGAAAAAATGAACAAAAAATTTAGTAATTATTTTTAAGTTCCTCTTCTTTTACACCATTATTCATGATTAGCATATTTGATTTGATGCTGTCAACTACATTTTATTCAATGAAATAAAAAGAGTAAATCATTTATTTCAGTTTGTAACAGTATAAACTACAGGCTGCGTCTGTGGGTGCTGAAGAAACACAAATGTGCCTGTGCATGCATCTGCAACAGGGATTAGAAGAAGGGCATACCACTGTGAAAAGAGTGGACCAACCATACTGACACAAACATTTCTGGGAAAGTGGAAATATGTTCCGATACAGGTCTTAGTCCATTTCATATATTTTCTTGGTTTTTAGCTATACTCATATTTTCTGACGTGTGTCAATCAAGGAGTCGTTGTGAAGAAAAGTGTATCAGAGAAAGAAAGTGATTTCATGATTCAAATCCACGTAACTTTTAGTTTTAAAACAATTTTAAATTTGCACAACTCCAAGCAAAAGAAACATAACTTCATTTTCCTTTTATCGGGTTTACTATCTTTTTTTTTCTTTTTAAATAAAATAAAACAGGGTCAGTAAATAGAAAACACAGTAGAAATATGCAGGCGGTTTTCTAATTAATTTTTATCTCTCCTACCCACCAACTAGTTTTCATGAGCGGTATACAGAGTACACTTCTTAGATCATCGAGCTATACAATGTTGTATAAACTTTGAAAATGCAATCTTTCAGAGTGTGTCAAAAACAAAATCGTGGGAAAAGTTTTTTTGTTTGTTTTTAATTTTAACCAAACTCGGCCATGTTCAAAATGTTCACCCTCTCTAGCACACACACACACACGAGTGTTTCAATTTTTGGGAGAAGAAAACAATGGACACCGGCTGGGAAGAAGGTTTCAGGTTGATGGCTCGTTTTTAATTTACTAAACAAATGTTTGAAATAAAATTACACCATATTCTGGTGTAAAAGGCCAGGAAAACTAAGGTATGTAAAATTCTATAATTTAAATAGGTCATATATACAACACGTACAAACTTGAAAAATCAAGGTTTTTGTTTGGAAAAAGAAAATGTACCAAAACATTTTCTATTTACAGTTTTGAACAAAGCACATGTAAACAATTAAAAACGCAATAATAGCAGAGTTATTAGGGCCATCGCCATAAAAAAAAAGAAGGAGAAAGTAATAATTCTCTATTATTCTTCCTATTCCAATAATCGTAATAAAAAAAAAAAACGTTTAAAAAGTGAATATGTTTGGGCGGCGTTGAAAAAGGGTACCCTCTTTCTTTAGTCTTACTCTTCTCTCTCAAACGGTGTTCTGGTTTTTTAAAGTCATTTTAAAAATATCTTATCAAAAACACTTTCTAATTAATTTTACTGTTTCACACTTTTTAAGGCTTGTTTTACATAGGTGGGTAAATTGCTACCAGTGTTTTTTAAGATTTTCACATCACACACACGATATTTTGAAGAAATTTTATTAATCTGACTAGAGACGCCTTTAAAAACAAAATTATAAATTTATCTATTATTGGAACATTAACTTAAGTCAGTAAAATTTATTGCGGGCTGTTTTTAAAATTATTTTAATATTTGATCACGAAAAATGTCTTATTTTCATAACAACACGCATGGAAAAGTGTCCAAAACAACTTGTGTGTCAGTGTCATAATCATTGTCATTTCATTTTTGTAAGATTAGTGAAAATCTCTAGTGTTCTGCAAACGATTTTTCAAACCCAAAACTAAATGTAAATGAAAAGTGACTTGTAAGGCGAGGTTTTTCAGAGATTAAACAGGTTTTTAAAAGAAGTCGAAAAAAAAAAAAAAATTCCTAATTTTCGGCACGAATTCCAAAGAATCTTTTCTAGAGTTTGAAGAAATAATCATGTTCACAATCAAATTCCCTTGATTGAGATTCCCATGAAATTTAAAACCTGTTTTATTTAATTTTTTAGTAATTTCCAATCAAATTAACATCTTAAAAATGAAAAAAAATATTTAAATTGTCACAATACATTTATTTAGAAATGTAATTATTTAAAATTAAGAAAACAAACTGCCTGTGTATAACACACAAACAAAAGAAAAACACCCTGGGTTCAATTTTGGCGACACGTCAGAAAGGGTCTACAACAGAAAAATACATCTCACTCCACAAAAATATTAATTACCAACAGAGGAAGTGAGGTTACAACAGTATCATGAAAAAGGTGAGGTAATTTAGAAACAGAAGTAAAGAAAACAATAACCAAGTTAGGAATATAATAATACACACGGAGGAAATTTAAATTAAAATCAACAGGTTTTAAAAGAAACCCCTGGAAATGTTGGACGAAGAATTTGGACAGTTAGAAATTAGAATCATGCCAGAAACAATTTGTGGCAAAAATGAAAGAAAGAAAACGATAACTAAAAACTAAAAAGGAAGTTGGTAGGGAGAGATACACGTAGAAGAAAAATAAAAAGAAAAGAAAAAAGAGAATCTATTTTCGTAGTCAAAAAAAAGAAAAAAAACATATGGTTGGATGCTAAATTTTAGCTTCCCTGTAATTTATCATGCTTTCTTCATCCCAAGACAATTTGAGAGATCTTTTACTTTAGCACTCAATTTCAACTTACTAACTTAACAGCTGCCGTCGACTATGCATTTAAAAAAGTCACCGAGAAAAAAAATGTTTCCTTATATTTTTCGAAGACTTGTTGAAATATCTTCAACCCAACTATATTGTTTTTAATTTTATTTTTACTTCTTTTGATTTGTTACAAAATAAGCTGCTCCGCTTAAAAATTGAAGTCCAAGTTTAAGGACAATATTTTAGATAAAAAATTAATTTCCTTTTTCCTTCACCATTAATAATTTGCTGAAAAAATGCATTTTTTTTATTCTTCACTTTCAGCCCCAAATAAGTAAATGAATGTGTGCGTGTTAAATTTTTTAAATATTTCTCCAGAAATAACTGTAGAAATTTAGCCCTCTGAATAAAATGAAATTGAAATATAATTTTTCATTCACTGCTTTGAAATTAGTGTCTCTAAAAGACATTTTCGAAATGTCCCTAAGACGACATCCTGTATAAGTTGAACATAAAAATTCATTTTTTTTTCTTAAATCAAATGAATGCAAAAAAAAAAAGAAGTTATTTTACGATTAGTCTGAAGATCCCAGTGATCTACTTTCTAAAAAGGTTTTTATTTTTAACACATTTTCATCCAAGTTTGCTCGATACTGCTGATGATGCTTTTATTTTATTAACCTACTAAAAATGGAATACATAAAGTTACCCTCTTGTTTAGTTTATGACTACCAAAGTAAAAAAAAAAGAAGAGAATGTAAATAATTAACATTATTCTGATGCGATGGTCTTGTGAAAAAAAAAAAAAAAATGCTAATGCTGTAATTGACGGACCAGACATGATCCGAGCCTTTTTTAATTTACATATGATAAAAAAAAAGGCATCCAAACAAAATATCTACTAAAAACCTTGAATGTGTCCCAACCCCAGAATGTGTCCCACTATGTTGAAAAATGGAGAAAAATGAGTTACAGCAGTAACAAAATACTTTTTCGTAATATTTACACTACACAGTTTCCCAGGTGATGAGAAGAATGTTTAGAGGGGGAGTCGGGGATGCTGGTGATAAGAATCAGCAATTCCATTCCAAGACAAAAAAACAAAACAAAAACAAAACACACTAGTAAAACAGGATAACCTAGGCAACTAAAATGAAAGCTGTAATTTTCCCCCCATAATTCCAATAAATGTGAAAGGGACTATTCAAAAACTCAGGAAAGCTGAATTAATTCAAGTACACAATATTTGATGTTTTTTAACCACTACCCCATCCCCCGCAAAAAAAAAGAAAGAAAAAAAATTGTGTTGTTGTTGAGAGCCCAGGCAATTAATTTTTTATAAGATGAAATATTCAAGGTAAACAGTGAAAAACAGATGGCACGAAAAAAAAAAAAAAAAAAAATCATGGTCATAATAGCACAGGATGATTTTTTTAATGTTAGAAATCAAACAAACGTTTATGCTTTTCTTAAATATACACTTAGAGGTAAGTAAAACTTGCTACAACGTGGACTAGAATTTATAATTCAACATGTAATCTGGGTCGCCTGTGGAATGTGCATTATAAGTTAATGTGTTGCAGATGTACACTTACGAAGTAATAATAAGGTTAACAAAGGAAAGTCTCTGGAAAAAAAAAGGGGGGGCTAAAAAGTACTGATTGTTACTGATGCCGGTATCTTTTTTTTTTTTTTAAGGTCGATCACTGAGGACAATGTGAAAGTCAGTTACGACAACCAAACATATACCGCAACTCAGATTACCGGGTGGCGGTGAAACTCATCAATTCAAACATTATTCATCGGGAATAAAATTATAAACAAAAATATTTGAAAGACCAAACAATTCATACGACAAATTTAGCATTTTAAGTTCTTTAAAAAAAAAATTCAACATGTTTTCTTACCTAGAAATCCGAGAATCGTAAAAGTAAGGCTCGTTTTTCTTATTTTTGCTCGTTTTATGCATTGTCGTCGTCCTGCTATTGCATGCATAGCAAGCACAAATAAATCGAAGATTTGCACTTTTCAACTTCGATAATCAATTTTATCCCAAAAAGGTAGAAGGAATAATACTTCTCCTTTGACAAAACAGGATGTTTGTACGGTGAAGTAAATGATGATTTCTGAGAAGACTACACTAGTATTAAATCAAGGAAACTGAAACACCACCCACAGGGGGTTCGAGTCCACAGGTTCTGAGTTACAACCGGAGAAAATATCATTCAAGCAAACCGGGTACATTGGGGGCGGGGAGAAAAATTCTAGCTATTTTTCCTCCCCTTTATGGTTATGTCAGCCAAAAGTAGGCGACCTTAAGTAAATCTCTTACATATGCCTTTTTATAACAGTACTGGCAAATACGGAAATCCAAGCGGTAGATGACATCTGGGAAACTAAAGGCATGGCTCGATATCACTCTTTAGTTGGGAGAGGTAAAATTCTTGACAGGAGAAATGGCGGGGAAGCCGATGCCGACGCTGCTGCTGATGATTCGCCTCAAGTGTTTAAGGTTCTAGGTAGACTTGTGTTACTATGATTGTTCTTGTAAAAATTATAATTCAAGAATTCCAGCATTAACTGCGTTTTTTTTCCATGATGAAATAATGTTTGAATTGATTAAACAAAATACAAAAAGGTAAAAAAAGATAAAAGTAAACTAATGATAAAGCTAAAGCAGCAACAAATCAATTTTTCTTGAAGGGAGATAGATTCATTCAAGGAATAATGACGGTGACAGAAACACGAGTTCAAACGAGAGAAGAAAGCTTCCAAATATGTCTTGCTTGAACTAAAATCGGATTGCCAACTCATAGACAGCGTAAAAACTAAAGCACATTGCAGTAGTGAATTAATGAATGCAACCCAGGCGGGATTATTTACTCTTTTTAGTCTCTCTCAAACATTGTCATTTTTTTTTTTTTTTTTTTGAAGTAGGTAGGGGGTAGTCTGGATTTAAATCAGTTTTAGATAAATCCGCACTTATCCACCTACACAGTTCTAATTATTTCTGAAATTAAAAAATAAATCGTTTTCAAACATTTTTCTGGAGATAAGCAACCAGAAGTCAGTAAAAAATATTTTCATTCTTTTAAACTTGAAAATAAAAAAAAGTACTTCGTTTTCTAAGGGGAAAAATGTTTATTAAAAGAAAAAGTTTCAAGCAAAAACACCTTCTAATCCAACGTAAACGTTACTTAATTTATACAATAAGTAGTCTTAAAAAAAACTTTAAATTCCTGCCTTTGATCGGACGCCTACAAAAAGAAATTCAAGTTGACAGTGTACGCACCGAGTGAAATTACGTCTTCTTTACTCTTCCGCAAATAACTAATAATCACTACTACTGAAGCATGAATGATACCATGCTGAAATGAAATTGTAAGTAGTAGTTATTGCTTGTTGTTGAAGTAGTCAAAAATAAATAAAACAAAAATAAGACTTTTTTTTTTTTTAAAGCGTAAACATGAGTCAATCTTCTAAAATATGATTTTTAGGAAGTCTACGGAATTCTCACGTCAGCCAATCCTAACAACATTGGTGATCCCCGCGCACATCTGCAGAGTCTGGTCTGGCATGACCCAATACTAATCATCGAGGAAGAGGGCGGGAAGAACAATAAACGTCTCCCCCCCTTCTCTCTCTCTCTCTCTCTCTCTCTCTCTCTCTCTCTCTCCCTTGTGTTCATCATACAATTCTCTGTAACTATGTACGCTGTTTATGTTATGTCTGTTAAACAACAGCAGCAGCGGAAAATAAAAAATAAAAACAAATATAGGGTGTACCCATCGACCAAGGGGACGGTTGGAAACGGAAACAGGAACTTTTTGGGGGGTCGGGGGTGGCCGCGGATACGAATTGAAGATTTCATAATTTACTGAAAAAAGGAATATAGCAACTTAGGTTAGCTCTTTATTTTTTTTTTTTTTTTTTAAACAAACAGTAACTAGCATTTTAAAACTTAAAGTTTCCTTTTTTTAGTTTTTTTAAATTAAATGTAAAAAAAAAAAAAGATACATTTTTAACGGGAAATGAACTTTTTAATTTAATGTTAATGAGGAGGGTCAGTTTTTTTGTAACGCTAAAAAACTAAAAAAGAGAGCTTCTTACATTGTGATGGGTAAAAACTAAAAAAAATCACTAAAATAAATGAAGCGTCGTTATTTTCCGAAATGAAAGCAAGAAATTGCTACCTTCACCCTGTTTTAAAAAGAGTTTCAAATATCAAGGAATTTTATCTCATTCAAACAACATTTTCAGTACTTATTCAATTAATGAATGAATGAATTGTATACAGAGGTTCGTTAATTTATTAAAAAAAACTTTGAAGAAATATTTTTTTTGCGGGTCTGTTTGACTCCCATTTTCGATATCGTGTGTAGTGTACGTCAATTTTTTTTTTTTGAGCTATAAAATTCCCTAAAGATGTTAACATCTCCAGGGAATTTATATATATAAAACAGTTATTTCAGTAAAAATTTAATGCAATATCAAGTGTGAACGGAAAATTCATCCAGAACCTTACTAAAACACAAAATACAAATTTTTCTGAGTTGGTGGTTGCTAGCTTGCATAAAAAAACAGATTCTCTTACATATCGAACATAAAATAAAAATATACTTATAAAAAAATTACTTTTAATATTTATTTGTGCGATTTTGAAATTCTTCCCGTTGCAGCTTGTATGTTACAAGAGTTGTTGTCATTTACATCAATACATGGCTAAAGAATCGAAAAATGTAAAGATTAAAATTCCATTTTCGAAAATAATTTTTTTTCATTTTTGGCAACGGTTTACTTTAGAGATTACTTTTCAAATGTTCAAAAAGGAAATAATTTCTGAATTACCGGCTCTAATTTAAATACTTTTTTGTCTATCGTAAGCAGAATAATCATTTATGGTTAAAAATTCAATAAATCTTAAATTCATAATAATTTTAAAAAAAAAAAAAAAAAAAAAGAGGCCAAATCAAATTGGATGCAATTAGAAATTTGATGACATTTTACAGGTATCAATAAACTCAAAAAAGTATCATTTTAACTAAGAATAATGTAGTATAAAAAAATAAAAATATGCATTCTACTAAGTTTAATAAAATCGTATAGAATAAAAAAATGATATTGGATGTTTATAAGGTTAGAGACAATTTCTTGATTATTGCACTGCTGGTGTTCCGTAATTTTTAAATTAAAAAAAAAATTTCGCGCGCATTTTAAGAGAGGTTTTGCAATTGATATTTTTATTTTGTAGTTGTTGACGTCTGATTTCACAGACTAGCGTACATAAATAAACATTATTTTCATTGTTTTAAGCAAAAAGTAAACATTACGTTTTTTTACAAAATCCAGTTAATACTTAAATTTATTGACTTGGAAACACATATCGTATCGAGAACAAATTTTGCATTTTTAAGAGATTTTTAAAATTTGTTGTTTAACATCTTTTGTCTAATGGCGGTTCGATAAATGAACGAACGTGCCAATGTTTTTAAATGCTTAAAATAAAAACTTTATTTACATAATGAAAGTTTTCTTGTAATATGGATTAGGCTACTAGACTTTTAACTAAAACCAAAATTTAATTTGAAAGAAGGCATTTTTTAAATTATTAAATGTGTTTTTTTTTTTTTTTTCATGAGGAATCCGTGACCGTATGTATACTTTGTTTAATTTTAGGTACCACCAAAATTTAAACTAAAAAAAAAAAGATCATTAAAAATAATTTAACTTAAATTAAAAAGACTTAAATAATTTAAGTCACCTTTTTTTAGAGTCATTTTTGGGGTTTTATTTTGAGAGATATAAAAAGAAAATTTTTATTTTACGCATTTCAATAAAAGTTTTTAAATTAAAAAAAAAAAAAAGTTCTTGGAGTCATTTTAATTGAAATGAAAAATGACGACAGAAAATTCAAGAAGACACTTCACTTCAAGGATCTCATAAAATCATTCAAATATTTGTCCAAGGTATTTGTTTCAAAGAGAATTAATAAAATTAAGGATTAATTAACCGAATTTTGGAAGAAAAATTCCTTATGCTTTAAAAACAGCGAAAAACACATTTGAACACAGCAAGCAAGATATATTCCACCTGCCAATATTCAATGGTCAAACAGTAGCAATCCCCATTTTTAGAAAACCTGCCTTTAATTAAAAACGGATGATCAAAATACAGAAACTGGTCTTGTTTATGTTTTTAATTTTTGTAACCAGTAAAAAAAAAATTGATGAAGACTTGATATTATTGTTGATTGCCTTCACTTTGCTTTCTTTCAGTAAACAATATCATAAAAAATTCTACACAACTCCGGACATCATAGATAATTATTTTAAACCTTATATAAGCAATATAGGGAAGTAATTCAGAATTGTTGAATTATTTCCTATTTGATCTTCTGTACAAATATTTAAACAATTGGAAAAAAACAAAAAAACCTTTGAATATGGCATTGAACTTTACATTTTTTAATTCTCCAAACATATTTAAAAAGAAAAAACATTTGTTATTAGCAAACAAGAATTTGAAACAGTATTTACATTAGTCGGACTATTGTTTTCATCTTTGTCGCCATATTTGTCACAACGTTTCGGCCGTTGTACGCTCCGGCCTTCTTCAGGTGGTTGGAATTTCGAACTGAACCCTTTATTTCGATCACTCAAGGACACATGGCACAGTGGATAAAGGCGTTGGTTAGATCCAGTGACAGACCCAAAGAAGGTGAGTTCAATACCTGGTTAAGGCAGTGGAGAACTTTCAGAGGGAAAATTAGGAGATAACTGATAACTGACATCCATCAAACATAGCACGTGGAACTAGAACAGTCTACCCCAGTGATCGAAATAAAGGGTTCAGTTCGAAATTCCAACCACCTGAAGAAGGCCGGAGCGTACAACAGCCGAAATGTGGCGACAAAGATGAGGACAATAGTCCGACTAATGTAAATACTGTACATAACACCTCATCTCAGAAATATAGACTGAAGAATTTGAAAATATCACTGAAAAATTACAAGTAAATTTTTCAAAAATAAATATCGATTGTAAAATTTTTTTACCTGTCAACTCTGACAGAAAATAATGTGTTTTATTAAATTATGCAAGTATCAACTCTCAACAAAAATTATTTTTTGTAAGGTCTCAGGAGAAATTTTTAAAATGTTTACATTTGATATTACAAAAACTTTTTTTTCTTTTTTTTTTTTTACTCAAATATCATCTTCAGTGATTTCTCTTTATAAAACTATAAAAAAAATTTCATAACCCACAATTTTAAAAGTCTTTACAATATATTGAAGTGGTGGAGAACTAATAATAGAAAGGAAATTTCTACTAAATTTTCTAATAAAATAATGTATCCAATATACAATTCATTTATTAATAGATAACTGCTGAAAACTTAATTTAAAGTGGATAATTGCCTGATTTTGGGTAAATTTTTAAAACCAATGGATTGCATTTTCCTGTTTTCACTGGGAAAAACCCAACTATTTTGGTGGTACCTAATTTTAAAGTAGATGGGGAAGAGATTAAATAACATTTTTTTCTTATGTAATGAGAAAGTTAATGTGGTATTATGAAAACCCAAACTCCTAATTTTAGATTATCAGCTCATTAATTTGTATAAAATGGGATACAAAATAAGTGTCCTGTTTACAAGTATTTTACATTATAAATTGAACTTTTCACCACAGTCGGGGTTTATTTTGGCATTGTAAGTTAATACCCCAGATTAGAACCATGCACTTTCACTTTTCTTTCATTACAAATAAAAACAATAAAAAGAAATGATTAACTGAATCTTTACAAAACTTTATTTATTCAAAGTTTATCATTACAGTGTAATGAAAAAACAGAGCAAATTGTGTGCTTACATGTGGCTAATTTGATAACTTAATGTGTATATAATGCTTTATTTCTAATTTAACCTGTATGAAAGTCTTTAAAAAAATAAATAAAATCACTTGTAATTTTTTTAATAGGATGGTTTGAGTATTAAAATCTACCAACTGTCACTTTTCAAAAGAAAAAATAAAATTTCTTTAATATTTTTTTAATAACCATTATTAAATGATTGAAAGTTTTCTAGAAGGTCATTAATTGCTTCAATGCATGTCAACTGGATTATACAGATGCATTGAGAAAGATCAGAGATGAAAAATAATATTATTCTTCAGAACAGTGTAATGAGAGACATGGCTGTTATGCTCAATTTTCAAATAAAATTGGCTAATAAAAAATAATGAACTACACTGATTAGCTGTATATGTTTACTTTAAGCTGAGAAACAGAAAACTTATTGCTTTAATTTTATTAAATGTCAACATGATGTCATTAACAAGAGAAGCCAAACGACCTTAAAACTGATAGTAACTGCTTCTTTCAATTGAGAACTCAGATTTTTCTTTTGGTAACTATCAACGACAATTAAGCAATTTCAATACAAATATGTATTTGTTGATGGCCCCTTAAATTCAATTCCTTTGCAATCCTTTTGCTTTTGTTTCTTTGAGAAATGTTGATGTGAAGATAGTAGAAATGATCCACCTATGGTTGTGACTGGTTAAATTAAACATTTTTTAAAAACATTTCTATTGAAAAAATGTAAAGAACTTATATTTTTTCATGGCAATTGTTCTGATGCACTCTTCTTTGTGCTTCAACTTTATGAATTTCAGCATGCTACTAGATTGGCAGTTAGGTCTCATCATTTTACTACTGAACAAGCTAGATGCAACCATATGTTCTATTCTAATAGTTTCTTTTCTCCCACTTCTGTGTAACTCCCTTCTGATTTCTTGCTTCCCTGTCAACTACAATCTTCAAAAATTTAACGGCAATGCTAATTGCCATCTTCTGTTTTCCTGAAACCTGTTCTTTGCTTAGGGTAAAATGATTAAAAGAAAAATATTCTTTGATACAAATAATTGTAAAACATAATTTGAAAGCAAAATGCTATATCACTGTTGTTACAATATCTTGTATACAAAGAAATATAAACAGTTATGTATGTACATTTCCAATACAAAAAGATTTCCTCCCACTCAGCAATTGTAAAAATAGCAGCAGCATTTAAAGAAATATTACAGGGATATCCTGGTAAGGACAAGCCTTAATCAGTTGATAGCCTAAAACTTTATTTTTACTTTCATTCACATTTTTTTTCCATTATTTTTACCTTGCTTTCTAAGTTATGAATGTCTTGATTGATTTTTACAGTTTATCAACCTTTTGCTGGTTATTTAAAGCCAAAAAAATACTTTTAAATTTTAAGAATTTTTTTCCCATCCCCAAGGGTGTTTGCACTTAAATAAATAAACTGAACTGGAATTCAAACAACCCTCTGATTAAAAATTCCAAGCCATTATCCCTTACACCACCTGCAAGCTTACAGCATCTGGTTTTCCCAAGCAGTCACTCATCTAGGTACTACCCAGGCTCAACATTGCTTAACTTCAGTGATTGTACGGGAACCAATGTCTCAATGTGATATGGTTGTAAGCCTTGTGGCAATTTATCTGACAGATAACAACCTATACATCGTCTTCCATCAGGTGCTGATTGATTGATAAATATTGATAATTTGTATTAACAGAAGGCACCTGAAAAAAATTTTAGAACCTCAGATTCAATAGGTTTCAAGAATGGAATTTTAAATCCTGCTTTAGATTTCCAGCATCATTTTTCTGTTTTGTATTCTTTCATCTAAATCCTTTTTATATTACCAGGGGTTGATAGATATACATTATTAGAATAGTTTTAAAAAATAACGTCAAGAAGAAATTGAAATTTTAGCTTAGATTAAAAAATTATAACACTTGAGAAATAAAAAATATTACAGTATCTCCAATTTTATTTTTTATGAAAAATAAGTTCACATTATATAGTTAAAAAAGTACTCATGTAAATATAACTTTTTGTTCTATATTCATGTTGTATTATTATCTTATATTGAAAAGTATAAGATTTGCAAATTACAATCAAATTAAGTCTAGTTTGAAAATTCTTTTTGCAATCTGAAAAGAAAAAATATTTATGACTTTGACAATTATATCCTTTCTCTTCATCTATGTGCTGTGTCCCTTTAGGATGTTGGTGATCATGGCTTTCCACAATTTCCTGTCCTTTGTAGCTCTTAATAAATATTGTCTTTTTTGTTATTTCTTATAGTTTGTTCTGTTATCCATTTACACAAGATTGCTAGGTGGGTTATATATTGTTTTCTTCTTTCCCTCTTGCCTTCAGTCTGTCCTGAGTATCAAATTTTCTAAACCCCCTTTCCTCATTATGTGCCCTAGAAATTTCAACTGTCTCTTCCTGATGTAAAAGTTTAAATGTCTTTTTTGTTTCCATGCAACTCCAGAAAAGCTTGCATTACAAAAAGAACTTTTAGCTGTTTAACTATGTGAGTTCTGATGAAATATATATTCAGTATCAGTGCACATTTACATAATTTTAAAGAAAGCTATCAGTGTACATGTCACATTAAAAAGAACAATTAATATGATTATAATGAAATAAATAATACTTTATATCAATGAACAGTAACAGAAAAGATGAATGTTCTCCCAACACATGAATTATTTTAACATGTGAAACTCATCTCTCTACTTAAATGCATTTTCCCCCACCTTTTCTTATCTGGATCTAGTCTACACCAAGTAAGGATAATAATCACAAACATCTCCATAACATCTTCACCACAGACAAACATCTTCATTATTTAGTTACAGTAGATAATAATATTCAGTATAACCAGTGTTGTAGCATACCTACGGACAATAATGGGTATGTTCCTATTCACATAAATACAGTAGTAAATACTGTACGTTGGTTTGTAGTTGGAGATTTGTCTCCAGCAGTGCTGGTCAAACTCTCTGTCTTCGGGCAGAGAGGATCCCCAGACGAGGCTATGTTGAAGGGCAGAGTCTAGTCTCGGAAACATTTACCTAACCCGGTTTTATATGGGGTCTATCGGGAATTTTTGGCCAAGCGTACAGGCTCAGATACCCTACATTAAATTCAGCCTTGTGCCACATATAACTACATAGGGTGGTTGTTAGATATCCTGCAGTTGGAGATTCATTGTGGAATTCACTTGATTCACTTCTAGCAGTTGACTACTACTTCGACACACCGCTGGTGAATCTTATATGTGTTGTTTTTGTCCTAAGTATTATCATTCAATACCAACCTTTATGTGATTATTCTATTCAGTAACTTTCTGTAGGTTACAACACATAGCAATTAATTTTTTTTTCCTAATAAACAATTTTGTTAATTAGTTTTTGTTTTTTTTATTTCCAAACAACAAATCTCAATTCCCTTTGCATCCCTTTGAACAATCATCTCCTTAGTGTTTATTCTCAGCATCATTATCTTTCCAATGTACTGGCAGAGAACAAACAGAAAAGAAAATTACTGTTGACCTTCGTAGTTATATTTCAAGTTCATAAACAGGCAAGCACAAATTCTCAGCAAATCTGAAAAGTGACATTCCACACCAAGGATTATATAACCTTATCAATGGGTAAAATGACAGTCAATATCTGACGAAAAGGAAATTAATCTGAGCATACACACAGAGAAAAGAGATCAGCACAGAAATCATTAACTGTAAAGTGCATTAGAATAGGTTTTATTTGACAATTTTAAGAGCAGAAGTTACCCAAATTAATAATGTAGTTCCTCAGTTATTGGTTACAGAGACCCAAATTTAAATACAACAGCTGCTATCTTTATATCAAATAGACATTTGTGTGTGTGTGTGTGTGTGTGTGTGTGTGTGTGTGTGTGTGTGTATATATATATATATATATATATATATATGGCAGGATTTGAATGAACAAAAAACAAAAGTCTTTACTAAAACTGTATCTAACTGAACATGTTATAATTCAAACAGTTTGTGAAAAGCAAATGTTACATGATAATTAGCAAACAAATAAAGAAAATAGGTTTTATAATATTTGTTGTTTCATTTTGCTTAATTATAATGATCAAAGTTTGTCGATCATATTTTTACGAGACAATCAATCAACAGATTCCAAATATCTTTCTCTCCACATTTACAAGGGATAATGATTGTCCCTTTCAAGAAATTATATATAGATTTATTTTTAGTTAAGGGATTGTATAGGCCTAGATCCACCTTCTCAACAAGGATTCAAACGAAAAGTCAGGTCCAGGAAAGATGGTAAAGGACATCAGTTGCAGGGAATGGACAAACCAATCTTTGATGCAATGAATGCTCTTATACTTCATAGCATGTATATGCAAAACAGGTTTGAATACAAATTTTTCTTTCTCTTAGACTGGTTGCCACCTTAGGCTGATATGTGTGTGTGTGTGTGTATATATATATATATATGGGATTAATACAAATATAAAATTTGTCACTTAGCTGATTGACTCCAGAGAAGTTTCGCAGATGGACTTTTTTTTTTTTTTTTTTTTCAATCGTTTGGCCCACTAGTCAGGAGGTATCAGTGATTTTCTCATTTTTGGTATTTTCATATTAAAAATATAATTTGTGTTTTTTTTTTTTTGTTTGACTGATTTTTTTATTTTATTCTGTTAGTGTGTGTATGTGCACGTGTAGAATGTCATGGTTTTCCCGTCTTTAATTTTTTTCTTCTTATATTCTCTTTTGATATATATATGATATATATATATATATATATATATATATATATATATATATTAATTAAGCAAGTTCACCCCAAGCAAGGCAGTAAAGACACTAACAGACAAGGGGTTACTGGGTGTGGAAGAATTAGAAAACAGAAACAATTACTAAGGAGCGGGAACAAAAGAAGAGTAATCAGGAGGAGAGCAGATCACAACTGACAATACATTTAAATTTTTGAAGATCAAAGTTGGCTGGAAAGCATGAAGCCAGAAGGGATTTAAACAGGTGAAAAGTGCTAGAAAAGAAACTGTTTGGATAGTTCTTACAGTTACATCTGGCAAACTCAACTGTATATTGGTGAGATTTCATTGCCAATCTAGTACTGCACTTAAATTCATAAAGTTCAGGTACCATTGTGAAGAGCTCATCCAAACAATTACCATGAAAATATTTTTAGAAAAAATGCAGGGAAGCCACATTACAGTGGTGGGGAAAGTGACTTAGGCTAAGATACCAGGACCAATAATACTGCTGATACTTCTTTGGATTTTATCAAGGATCTATAGATATAAATTAGGGAGCTCTGGACCATATATGGCAGCAATATGGTAGACTTAGATATGCAAGATAGATTCTGGAGAGAAAAATTGTCTCGCTTGACACAGTGAACCAACTTTTTTTAGCAGCAATAGATTTAATATAGTCTTTCCCGGTTCATATTAGCTGAGAATGTTAGACCGGAAAGGTGCAACAAGTCACTTTCTTGGAGGTTAGCATCAGCCATGCTGATGGAAAGCAGAAACGGGTCTCTCAGCTGATTAATAGAGAGAAGTTTAGATTTGGAGGCATTAGAATTAACAAGCTTTTCTTTGCTGCAGTTAACAACAGACTGGCAGTTGTTTTTGACATCAGCCTTTAATTTGACCTCATTGAACTGATCAGACTTACTATTGAGACAAGAGTAAATGGTTTTGTCATCAGCATAGATACCAAGTTGAGAGCTGATGCCATCAAGAAGGTTGTTAGTGAAAATTCAAAGCAAAGTAATACCAAGGATAGAACCCTGGGGACACCTGCATTAGTGCAAAAGGATCTAGAAGAGTGGTCGTTCAGGACAACTTTCATTTTATGATTTGATAAAAAAAGAGTGGATCAGTTCAAAAATTTAGCCTGAGACACTGTAACTTTTCAACTTGTGCAAAAGACTTGTATGCTAAACCCTGTCAAAAGCAATTGAGCTTCACCTTATCTAGAACTTGATAGACTCTTTCTGCAATTATTGTCAGTACAACGGCAGTTTACCTAGAGAAACAGAAGCCATATTGTTTGTCTGAAAGAAGGCCCAGCAATGAGATGCTTAACCAAGTCAGCATTGAGTAGGGCCTATAGTAGTTTCCCAGAAAGAGGTAGAAGACTAATAGGCTGATAGTTGAAAGGGTCAGGTATTTCACCCGAGTTCTTAAAAATCGGAACAACAGAAGAGGACTTCCAACAGACAGGAAAGCAAGAGGCAGTGAGGCATTTTCACTGGTACATAAGATGTAAAATATAAAGACACAATGTGATCTATATATATATATATATATATATATATATATATATATATATATATATATATATATATATAAGCACTTACAATCTGAGGATCTTTTGGTGAAAACCAATTAGCCAATAAGTTTTTTTAAATTGTGTTTGTGTGTATACATATATGTCAGAACTCTCCTGTCAATTACAACATATGAAGGCCTAACAAATTCTTAGAAATGAACCACCTGACTATCTACACAGATTATAGTGACAATGGTTGGTAGGGAATCAGCAGTTTTTGGATTAAATAATAATAGAACTGGTGCACAGTGTGCCATGGTT